CCCAGCCTTATCACCGCTAATTTGATCCGCAGAGGCCTGGCAGAGCAGATGGTCACCAGTTGTCCCCTAGAACCAGCCCCTCCCATCCCAGAAGGGCCTCCCCCAAGATCATCTCGGTCCAGTGCAAAGACATTCTGAGCCTGTCAGCCAGGCTGCAAAGGCAAACGAGTTCCAGGTGCAGGTTGATTAAATCCCCCCTGATTATATGCAGATCAATGGGGCAGTGTCATGGTGAGGCTGGCACACACGTCAGGGTAAAGCTCTCCTCTGCTTGGGGAAAACCCAGAGCAGTCATTGTCCTCCTGCCTCAAGTCAGGGTGAAGAAGGGTGAGCAGTTCGTGGGGAAAATGTTCCAGGCCAGTCTGCCAAGTCCCATCCGCACCCCAGTGGGTTTCCCCCCACAGTGCCCAGTGATGAGCAGGAGAGGACATATTTGAAGCATAGTGAAATACAGTCATTTCTCATAAATGATCCCTGGACTAACATCACGACTTAAGAGTTCCACAAGGTCTGATTTTCATCTCTGAGGCTCTCCAGAGCCAAACACGACAGCAGAAGGGAGGAAGGGTGGCATGTGGAGCCAGGGCACCTCAAGCAGCCGTTTCCCTCGCAGAACTCGGCTTCCAGCTGGAGCTTCACCCTGCCAGGTTCTGGCATTAGGGCAGGTCTGATGGGAAATTTCTCCAGAAAGTCAGTCTCCGAGGAGATGCCTTTCTCTGAGGTAGAAAAGAGCAACACAAAGACCCCCTTCCAGAGCTCCCATCAGAAAGCCGTCTCCTCAGCTCAGAGAGATGTCATCACACCGAAAGTCAAGGGGGGTAATAATAATACCGCACTAAGCCAGGAAAGCCAAGCATTGCCCGATACAAGTTGTAAAAGGGCTCATTGCTGTTGATTTGATAAATCTCCAGAAGTCTAGACACTTGCTGTCATATATTTAAGACCAAGCTGGTTAAGCCTTGTCACAAATGTAAGACCAACTTAGTGATGACTAGACTCTAATGCAAAAAGATATGACTGAAGAAAACGAATTTACTAGAGATGACATTTACCAGCTCCAACACCACACACACACACATACACACACACACACACATAAGCACACATACAAATAACCATCAGTTGAAGTCAAGAAGGTCAAGGAAACTGAGTGAGGCAGAGGATGGGCCTTGGTTCACATCCTCCTAAGCTGCGGGTGCTCTGTCCGTGCTGCAGCTTTAAGGCAGGTATTCAGAATCCTTGATAAGTGATTAATATGAGGGATGGAGAGGGAAACCTAGGAGCTGGGGCACTGGAAGACCATCTAGTAGAGGAAATCCTCGCACCTTCTCCCCTCAGTCCAAACCCAGTCCTTGGACAGCTGCACGTTAGCAACAGATCGCCAAGACAGCCACACAGGGAGAAAACAATAATGAACACAGTAAGTTCCACCACAGAAGTTGAGCAATGGTAGCATTTGTGTTCTCCTGCTGACTGACGTTCACCTTGGGAGGGCAGACAAGGTTGCCTTGCTTACTGGAGCAGCTGAATCTAGTCCAGTGCCTGGCATATAGTTTGTACTCAGAAACTAAGAGCCTAGAGTCTCGTTGGTTTTGCATCCAGTCATAATAAGAACAAAGTCAACACTTGAGAACTATTGGAGACATCTGACTGCCAAGGCAATAGGGGTGCTGAGCACCTAGTTAGCCCTGATTAATTCTAAGGCCGTTTGACAAGTAATGTGGACTTCTCATGCCCTCTCCGCTCTGCGTACACTCTACCAACTCGGTCCTCAGTGAGGGCAGTGAATTGACAGATTGCTGCGGCCGTGATCTGACTCACTATCATGCTTATTCTTCCCATGGGATCTAAGACAGTGACCAAGATTAAGAGCAGAAATGTCGTGACTAACAGTCCAAATAATTGGATCCAACTACGTCTTCTTCCCAAGCGAATGTTTTTCATCCAACAATTGTCACCTTGGCCAGGAGGACCCTCCCTCAAAGTCGGCCATTCCTCTGTCCCCTTACTGGACGTCCCTTGTCCCTTTATACCCACTCCCAGGACTCAGGGACTTACGCATATTCCTTGGGAATTCCCATATGAGCGTCCAATATTTTCTCATCCATCCCCTTAATCAGTTTCACTACAGTAGGAGGTTAAGGGCTGGAGCGATACCACAGCAGGCAGGGTGTTTACCTTGCACGTGGCCAACCCAGGTTCGATTCCTTCGCCCCTCTTGGAGAGCCCAGCAAGCTACTGAGAGTACTCCGCCCACACAACAGAGCCTGACAAGCTACCCGTGTCGATTCAATATGCCAAAAACAGTAACAAGTCTCACAATGGAGACGTTACTGGTGCCCGCTCAAGCAAATCAATGAACAAGGGAGGACGGTGCTACAGATAGGAGGTTAAGAAAAAAAGCCATGGTTGGAATTTTCCTTCTTTCTTTCTTTCTATGTTGCCTTCGAGTGACACTCGGCAGTGCAGGGGATTGAACCAGGAGCTCCTGGACACAGAACAATTGCTCCAGCCCTCGTTGCTTCTTTTCAAGTAAAAAATTGGCTTGCAGGGGCTTCTGAGGGGGCATGAGTTCCTGCTTGAGCTCTGGACCTTGGGACAGCAGGTATGAGGGGCTCATGTAGATATCAGAACCAGTGACTCCCTAACCTCCAGGCCTTCATCAGCTCCAGAAGGGGGCCCTGAGGGCATAAGGGAGCAGGGGGCCTATTAGATCAAACTAAGAAGCAAGATCACTTCCTAGAACCTTCCTTCTTGATACACTCATATGAGGGTTGGGGGTGGCTCCCTGGTTCTGTCGGCGCCCTGTTGTTTGACCAGGCTGGCTTTCAACAGTCCCCACGTGGGTCACTCTTTTGACCTCAGCAGTACTTTGTTACTGCCTGCCCGCTGCTGGCACCGAGTCTGTGACTTGGCTGACAGCATGCAGTCTCTAGGCCCCATTCCGGCTCTGAGACTCGAGAAATGGCTAAGCCAAGGGCAGAGCCCACAGCGCCTTGTACATGGCTGACCTCCATTCGATTCCAGGCACACACAGGACCCTTTGAGCACCACCAGGAGCGATTCCTGAGCACAGAGCCAGGTGTCAGCCCTGAGAACTGAGTGTGGTCCTCCCCTGGTCCCAGAAAAAAGGATTTTTTTCTTAATTGACTAAAAGAAGAACTTTCAAATGGGCCTAGAAACGCATCCAAGAGAGAAAAGCTTTGGGGCTTTCTCCAAGCCCATGAAGCAGGCTGGATGTCTGGTCTGGCTCTAGAAGGCGGGGAAGGGGGACCTTTCTCCAGCCTCCATCCCTCCTCTGCTCAGTCCCACTCAGGCCACCAAAGTGTCCTTCAACAAGCCCTGTCCTAGGCCCTCGCTGTCCCCGGGAGCTTTGGGTCCGCCTGTCAGACCACAGGTGCTGAGTCTCCAGTTACAAGTGGCAGAAGTGGCCTCTTCCTTGGGCACAGACCCACTCTGGTGGGTACCTCTACATCTACCAGGACCCGATGGAGTGCTGGGTACAGAGATGCTTTACAACGTGATGTGCACAGTGACGGAACTGATGGCTTTTGTCTGCTTCGAAGAAGGAAGATTCTCACACCGACCCGCTGGGGGGAGAACAGCAAGCTCCCCCCAGCGGAAGCTGCATGTTTGCCCCTGACACCCCACGCTCCATCAACACCTTCCAGGCTGGCGGAGCCTCTCTTCTCCCGACCCAGCCCCCTGAAACGGTTCTAGTGGGCGGCCCTCTGGCTAAGCAAACGGCAACTCGCACTCTGACATTTCAGCCCCTTGCTCCTGGTTTGGTGCACGGTGTCGACTTGGCGGTACCTTACAAGCTGCTTTGTCATCTGCCTCCTTTCTCACCACCTCACCCCGCCACCCCCTCCCCCGGCCCGCGCTGTGAGGTCCAGTGCTCAGACTCAAGTTTCCTGGCGCCCCATCCTCAAGGTCATCGATCCCGGCCAAGGTCGACAAAGGGGAGAGAGGGACCAGCACGAGGGGCGCGCGGGGGGAGGGGGCGGTGGAGAGGCAGAAAGGGGAACGAAGCGGAGCGAAAGAAAAGAGTGAAAGAGCAGGCGGGCTTCGCGAGCGAGGCGCTGCCGCCGAAGGCAGTGGGGTCGCCCGGCGCGCGGAGGAGGGGCGCCCGGGAAAAGTGGCAGGAGACGCGACCCGCTACGGGGGAGGTCGGGGCCGCGAGACCGGCTGGGGGCGGCCGGGCGGGCTGGGTGCGGGGTGCGGGCTGGCCCGCCTGCAGGCTCCCGCGGCCCTGGCACGGCGCGACTGGACCCGGACGGGGCGCCCGGGCCGGGCAGGGCCGAGGCCGGCGCTTCAGGTGGCTCCTGCGGCGATCTAAAGTTTGCGGCAGGCGAGGACGCCCGCCCCGTCCTCCCTCCCCGGGGCTCGGCCCGGCCCGGTCATCCCCGCGCTCAGCCTCGGGTCCACGGAGGGTCCGGCGTCCACTCCGCTCTGGTCGCCCCGTGCGCGGGGCCCCTCCGGCGTCTCCATCCCTCCCGGTGCCCGCGCGCCCCCGCTCCCGCCCTCCGCGCCGGCTCTCCCGCACGACGTGAGCGGAAAGTGAATGGGCAGCCCCGGCCACAAAGACAGCCCGCGGGAGCACCAGCCCGGGGGCCGCCGCCGCGTCCCGCGCGGATCCCGCGGCAGGAGCGGGTGGCAGGAGCCCGGCCGCGGGCCCCGGGCGGCAGGGACCGCCCTCCGGCCCCGCTGAGCCCAGACCGCACGGTCCCGCGACCCACGCGCCCCCACGCGCCGCGCCGCCCCGCCGGCCCCCAGCCTCTGCGCCCTCGTCCCCTCGCCCTCCTCGGGGCCGGGCCCGACCAGACGCAGGCCAGCAGGCGGCGGGCGGGCCGCCCGGCGCCCCACCCGCACCGGACCCCCGAGTTCCAACTTGCCAGCGACCCCGGGCCCCCACCCCTCTACCCACCCGAGTTACTGAAGTTTGCAACTCGCAGCCGCAGCCGGCGCGGGGGGACGCGCCCGCCGGGCCCGGGACTCACCTCCGAGGGGCGGGCGCAGGTGCAGGCGCCCGGCCGAGGGTCCGTCCCGGCAGCGTCCAGCGGTGCGGGCCCGCGGGGCGGTGCAGTCCCCACCCGGCCCGGCCGGCAGCCCCGCGCGCCCAGAGCTCCGAGCCGCGCGCCGGGGACGCGGGGGGAGGAGACGGATCGGCGGGCGAGGCGGTGCGCGGCGGCGGGGGAGGAGTTGGGGCGCGGGGAGGAGGGGAGGGGGCCCGCCAGCCCCCGCGCGCCCCGGAGCGCAAGGGGCCGCCCACTCGCGGCCCCGGGCCCGGCTCGCCGCGCGCCCCCCGCCGCGACGCCGCGGCCTGGCGCCTGCCCGTGCCAGCCGCCCCCGCCGCGCCCGGGCTCTAGCGGAGGACCCTCTCCTCCCAGGCCGCCAGCCCCCAGCCCCGGGCGGCTAGAAACCTCCCTCCTTCCGGTGCATCCCCAGAAGAACCGCGCACACACCGGTGGCGGGCGGGGGTCGCGGCTAGGAACTGCGCGGGGAGTGGGGCGAGGCTACCGGGCCCAGCTGGAACACCCCGGGAGGGGTCGGGTTAGACGCGGCGCGACGAGCCTCAGTTTCCCCGGATGGAACTAGGGCGATACCCACCCTCCAGCACTCGTGGAAGAACCGGGAGGGACAGCGCGGCGTCCAATCCCATCGGGAACGTTGGAAGGGCGTCGGCCCCCGACCCCCGAGCCCCGGAGGCTGCGGGGTGCTCTCCGCCGAGGAGAGGAGCTGTAGCCCTGGGCCAGGCAAGGCGGAATTGTTTACAAGTTTAGGTAGCTAGGGTCTGGCGGCCAGACGCGGGAGGGGACGGCAGAAGGGGCAGGCTTCCCCCTAATCGCCGGGCTGCGAGAGGGAAGGGAAGGGAGCCCTCTGCTGAACAAAGACAGGTATTTTTAAACGGAAGGGGGAAGCGACCTAAGGAAAGAAACGGGAAGATGAAGGAGAGACACAAAGGATCTGAAAAATTAAACGCAGGGAAAGTGGGATTTGAAGAGATAAGCAAAGATATATTTGAGACAAAAATACGTAAGAATGGGAACACTGAAAAACTTTGGGAGTAAAGCATTTTATGTAACAATATTCTGGGTTTAAATATTCTGGGTTATTACAAACCTCAGATAAAGCAGATAAATGGAGGCTGATAGAAACCCAGAGAAGGCAACCCATCTGCATTAGGTCACACACACACACACACACACACACACACACACACACACCCCTGCCTGCACACCCCCTCTGTGCCAAGGTGAGAACCCACATAGACAGGGTGATGGGGAAGAGTTTGCAAACCACTGTAAAAAGAAAAATGGTGTCAAGCTCAGAAAAAAAAATCCACCTAGAGCAACAGAAATGCTGAAAGTCATAACCTGCAGGAGGGAGAGGAATTCGCCAGGGTAAGTGGAAGGAAAGAGGCTGTGGGAGACTCAGGTGGGAGGAGACGGTGGCGGGGCAGAGGAGGAGAGCAGGGCTCAGGGTGCCCGCACACGCCTGCTAGCCCCTCCTCAGTGCCTGGGCAGGGAGAGGGGAAGAGGAGTAAGGGCATGTCTCTTCTAGACAGGACCAGGAGATGCGGGGGGGGGGGGGGGTGTGAGTCGCTGTTGGGGGCCCGGGTCTCTTGGATCGCCCGCCAAGTGGCTCCAGCAAAGGGCCTTTCTAGCTGGGCCTTTCCAGTGCCGAGCGCTGCCCTGCCCCTTCCCTACCCCCTGCCATTCCCGGGCACTGTTTTCGCTATGTGTTGTAACGCCAATGTGTGTGATACAGAGACAACATTTCATTCAGACGAAAACATGGACGTGTTTATCGCCAGGGGAGGGATGAGCGAGAGTCGCCCAGACGCTGCTGTCGGGGCCCTCCGCCACCCTCTCCCAGGCAATGCAAACCCTCACCCTCCACCACACCTTTGAACCTCCCGCTCTTGGCCCTCCATGTTTGAACGGTTTTTCCTCTTCCCTTCCCACCTTGGATTTCTGGCCAGTATGGAGTGTGGGAGGGGACTGGGTGAGAAAGAGAAGCCGGAAGATCCTGTCCTGGGGGACACAGATGAGGAGCCCATCCTTTTTCGGAAGCTGAGGCAAGAAGGGGAGACGCTCACAGAGAAAGGAGCAGAGCGTCCTGGGAGCAGGCTAATTAATCCTAATGGCATCCTACAGGATTGTATTGATTAAGAGTGATTACTCAAGCACTCTCAGTGCGCGTGAGCTTCAGAAGTCCATGTGCAGCGGACCACTGCGTTTCTTGGCTTCTATCATCACCTGCTGCAGTACCCCTGGAGCTTAGCAAGCCTGGTCTGGAGAGAATCCCCGAATCCCTTCCTTGGGCCCATCGTCCTCCCTCTGGCACCTTTCTTAGCCTTGGCCATCGGCAATATATAACTTCAGTAGGGAAGGATTTTCCACCTACTGGAACCGTGTTTAATTAAGCAGAATGTAAACACAGTAATTAATGCAGAACTATTCAAAACAAACATGCTGACAAGCAGGGAACATAGTGAGTGGGAAAGAGTTATTCGAATTTACTCTTGACCTAGAAAGTCTAAACTGCTCTTGAAGAGAGATATTAGGAGTAATCCAAAGGTCTGCGAGATAGCATAGTGGTCAGGGGCTCAGCCTACCATGTACCCAACCCTGCATTACCAGGTGAAGCCCTGGAGGCCTCCAGTTTGGAGTATACCCTACTCCATGGGGCCTAAATGGTATCTCATTCTTGGCTCTGATTCCTCTGCCCCTCTCGGAGAGCCCAGCAAGCTACCAAGAGTATCTCGCCTGCACGGCAAAGCCTGGCAAGCTCCCCATGAGGTATTTGATATGCGAAAACAAACAAAAAAAACCCCAGTAGCAACAAGTCTCACAATTTGTTGTGAGATGTTACTGGTGCCCACTTGAGCAAATCAGTGATCAACGGGAGGACAGTGGTACAGTGCTACACTGAACCCAAGGCCAGAATGACTGAGAATTGCCCCCACTCCCTCACAAAGGAGAAGTAATCCAAATTCTCCTGGTTAGGGGTAGCTATTTTGGGAGCATTGTTCTGGAAGATCTAGAGCACAGTCTCCTCAGGGCACATGGCCATGGGAGCACTTGTCTGTGCAAAGTTCAGGCACAAGAATCTGGAAACAACTCAATAGTTTGGATAAATAAAAGGTACATCTACACAATGGAGTACTACACAGCCATTAGGGAAAATGAGGTCATGAAATGTGCTTATACATGAATGGACCTGGAGAGTATCGTGCTGAGTGAAATGAGTCAGAGGGAAGACAGACAGAATGGATGCACTCATTTGCAGGATATTAAAAAAAACATAGGAGAATAATACCCAAAGACAGTAGAAACAAGGGCTAGGAGAACTGGTCCATGGTAGAAAGCTGGGTAGAAAGGTGGGTGGGATGGAGGAGGGTAAGGATGGGGGTTTGGGGAGGGTAGTTAGGGTAGAAAAGGGACCACTATGATAGTGAATGTTGGAAATGATCACTCTGGACAAGAACTGAGTGTTGAAAGTAGGTAAAGGGATATACATGATAACCTGTTAGTACCTGTATTGCAAATCATGATGCCCAAAAGGAGAGAGAGGGAGAGAGAGACAGAGACAGAAAGAGACAGAAAAAGAGAGAGAGAAGGAAGGTGCCACAGAGGCAGAATGTTGGGGGGGCACAATGGGAGGGGAAACTGGGGTCACTGGTGGAGGGAGATGTACACTAGTGAAGAGAAGGTGCTGGAACATTGCATGACTGAAACCCAATCAGGAATAACTTTGTAACTGTGTATCTCATGGTGACTTAATTAAAAAAAAAGAAAGAAAAAAGAAAAGAAAAATAATAGCTCAGGCACAAACAGGAACCTAGCTTTACAGCCCCGGGCTGACAGCAGGAGAGAAAGAATCGAAAAAGAAAAAGACAGCAATCACTTATAATGTCTAAATAGTTTCCTGGCCCCCAAATCACCTGCTCATTGTGTCCAGGGACAGGAAAGAAATGAAAGAGAATTCCTACTCAGAAGCCATTGTTGGTCCGTGAACCGAAAGCACGCTCAGGTCGGAGGAACTCAAGTGTCACTAAGTGGCAGCTTCGCCATTGTCCGGAGCTAATGTGAGAGAAGAGACCCTCCTTCCTCCCTTCCGCTCCAGCACTGAAGTGCCACTCACGCTGCCTGGCAAGAGGTCACCGGAAGAGGAACCGCCAGGCCCGGCAGGCGGGAAAGTCCACAGTCCCGAGTGTTGGGTGCTGTGGGACGCAGTTCAGGCTGCAGCACAGGCTGCGCAGCACATGCAGCGGTCCTGGGTTTGAGCCCCCAGTGACGCAGGGTCCCCTGAGTATCCCCCCACCCAACACCACCACCACTGGGGAAAAACCGAAGTGGCTCCAGCAAAGGGCCTTTCTAGCTGGAAGTGGGGGCAGGGAATTCGCCAGAAAAGCAGGATGTGTCGGTTCTACCAGGCAGAGGGCAGGGCACATACGGCAGCGCATGGCGATAGAATTAGATTTCTTGTTGTTGGTCTTTTTTTTTCTTTTTGGGTCACACCCAGCGATGCTCAGGCATTACTCCTGGCTCTGCACTCAGGAATGACTCCTTGCGGTCCTTGGGGGACCATATGGGGTGCTGGGAATTGAACCCAGGTCGACCACATGCAAGGCAAACACCCTCTCCTCTGTGCTATCACTCCAGTCCCAATATAATTAGATTTCTGCTTTGGGAGAATTACTTGGCCCAGGTTAACCGCTTAAGAGAGCTGAAGCCTTAGACACGAGCAGGTGCATCCCTGCCGTCAGTACAGGGGTTCCAAGGCCAGCTTGGCCACTGAGGAGCAACTGTGCCCGGGAAGCCTCGATCTCCCTCGCCTCAGGCCACAGAAAGGGAGCACGGGAGAGGGGACGATGGGCGGTGGCTGGGTCTGGCTGGGCCCGCAGGGACTCCTTCCAATTCGGTTCTTTAGGCGCACTTTGTTCTTTCCAGGGGGTAACGCTTCACCAGTTAGTATCTGTTGGGGGGAGCTCCCCTCAATGCCGGGGGACTTGGGCACTGCTCCTGCTGGATACTCAGCACAGCAGAGCTGGCCTGGTGGTTTGAGTCTGCACTGGTGACCAGGTGCTGGGCAGCCACCATGACACCCTGGCTGTGCCATGAGGCCATGCAGTGCTGGGGATCAAACCTGG